GACAGCATGAATCATCAACCTGGGGAATTTTTCTGGAGTGACTATTTGTGCGTGGTCACGCCTGCATTAAACTTACTTTATTCGGTGAGTAAAATATCTTTTGGGGGCAGGGGGTCCTCCCATTATCATCATGGTTAAGAATAGATGGATCATATTGTACCTGAGCTGCTGTATTTTCCTGCCAGTTCTGCAAGGCTGTGTGTGTTTATGTAAATTCTACACACTTGGCCTGGAGGAAACTCCATAAAATGTGAAATAGGAATTAAATATCAAATTCCTTCAGGAAAGCTGCAGTCCATAATACTTGTTTATATTCTGTCTCTGTTTTCTCAGTTAAACTTAGGTGCATCTGAAGTAGTTAGAATTAGTCTAAATCCACACAGCTGAGGAATCCTGTGCTCTTTCTTTCTCATTTCTTTCTCTGAATTTTCACTGAGGGGCTTTTATCTACCCCTAATCCCACCATTTCTGTCAGGACATAATCTCTTTCTCAAATTTACATTTTAATTACAAGGCCAGCTGAACTAGCTAAAATCAATAATGTCAGCATTCAGCAGCCTAACTTTCAGCTGAAACCCCAGCCTCTCTATTTCCTACTATCGATTTATCTCTTGAACACTGTCTACTTTATTGCTTCAGGCAAATAGGTGCCATTTGGTCAATTTAAACAAAAAGGGGGATTTGAACATTTTTATGATTCTTTCTCAAAGTAACTATTGGAACAAATTTGAACCCAGATACTGTACTTACACTTGACAAAATCCAAGGAATGGCTGAATTCAGTAGAAGTCTTTTACTTCTTACATCACAATACGTTTATAATACAAACGGAGATGTTTTACATGTCCCAGGAATGCTATCTGCTTTAGGGATTCTTGCTGTTATTTTGGCAGCCAAACTAATTTTATAAACAAATGTTAAAGAGGGCACTTTTTTAAATGATTGGTGTTTTTAATACATTAGCAATGTATTTACCCTTGACTGTCTTGCTTTCAATGGTTTAAAATAACAATTCAGTGAAAAATATTTTGTTCTTGTAACCCTGGAGAATTCTCATATCGATCGTTTGGTTGTGATATTATCTATCTGAAATGTCACATTGTTTGTGCATCTCTTCTGCCTTTCCTCTTTTTGTGTTTGTGTGTCTGTATAACTCAAGATGATAAGTGAGCAATTATGCTTAAATATTCTGTGTAGGAAATCAATTGGGATGGGGGGAGTAAAAGTATTTTGGTTGAAGATAGCTCTTTTCCTCCTGAGAATTTATATCTGCTATTTTTTTAAGATAATGTAAATAGAAGTACTCTCACAGTTGTAGATTTTTGTCCTTTAAAAAAAAAATCTGAATGAAAATTGTCTGTCCTGTGCATAGTTAATCAAAAAGTATGTGTGTTATAACTGTTAATATATTATAAATAAATTATAACTGGGGGAAGTAAATAGCTCTAAACTGAATCTTCTCTTATTGGATGAGTTTAGTTTTGCTGTAATACAAAGCAACAATCTGAAAGCAACAATCTACCTGCTGCTAGTTGTGGTGATTTATGATGGAAGTCGTTCATGATTGAAGTTATTCCATCTTCTTATCTAAACCTTGTGAGCATAGAATTGTTCTCGTCAGTGGGTGCATATACATGTGTGCTTTAATGAGCATTAGCCTATTTTAATGTGCATTAAAGCACAAAAAGGCCATGCTCTTTTGCAAACGTGCATTAAAATAGGCTAATGTGCATTTTTCTAGTACCTCAGAATGGAGGGCATTTTTACACGTGCTTGGGGGGAGGGGGCAGAACTTTACTTATAGGGGCTTCAACAGCTGCTCTAATTAAAGTGTCGCAGGGTCTTATGCATCAGCCTTCCTGTGCTTGAAAATGGTGGCCAGGGCACTTGAGCTAAAGTTTGTTCGATAAGCTATAGTTCAAGTGCCCCCACTGCCATTTTTAAGCACGGGAACGGTGATACACAAGACAGGAAGCTGCTGGAGTTCAGTAATTGCCATGCTCCAGCAGACTCAATTAATCAACTCTGCTCCGGCGTGCTGGAATTCCAGTGTGTCAAAGCAGCCTCGCTGCTCATGTATCCGTACCTGGAGGTTCTAGATTTAATGTGCATTACCTAAAGCACACTAATTGAACATGTAGACGTGCCCCAGCATGACCTGAAGTGCTGTTTTTAATTAAATTTCAGTATTGAGTCTGTATCAGGTTCTTTAAGAGACTATTCCACAGCCTAATGGGCTTCACTGTTAAGATCCTTTCTCCTTGATATTTAGCTTTTCTTCTGCTCATTTTCATCCTATTTTAATTATCCATACCCTTATCTATGGTTTTTCAGCCAGTTTTCAGTCCATTTTGCAATGCTCATATCAAAGCAAATTAGTACATTTTTATAGTTGGGGTTGTTAAGGTCCTTGCATCAAACACATTCACCAGGCCATCATCCAAAGTATGCTGAGTGTGTACCATGTTCGTTGCTTCCTGTTGACAAATGAAAGGTGTGGTAGGAGGTAGGAAGGAGTGAGAGAGTGGTGCCATCGTCTTTTGTCTTGCCATCCAGCAACACATCTGTCACATTCAGCAACAGATACTAGTGAATTAGTTTCAGTACTATGGTAGGTTTCTCCAACTTGAGTCTTGTTAGAGCTTTTCTGGTTCTGGAGCTAAGGTTTTTCTCAGACGTGCAGCTTGGCACATGCATATACAATTTACCAGCAGACTCTCTCTATGCCTGAAGAAGGGTGTTTGTGCCCATAAGCTTGCAAAGAACAATTTTCTAATAAAGGGTATTACGTCTGCTCAAAGAACCTTGTCTGCCTATTGTCTTTGTCACTTCTAGGATAAAGTACTTGGAGTGACTCTTTAAGAGAATCTGGAAGCTCCATCTAGTACAGAATGGAGCAGCCTGCTTTCTCGACTGCCTGGGCTTCTGCAAGTGGCACCTGAGAGACTGATGAAGAGAGGAACGAGCATTTTTAGCCTACTTCCTCAGATGCTATGATTGGATTTGTAGAAAGAAAAGGTTTAAAATAGAGAGGAACTTAAATACAAAAGGAAAGCCTAGGGGGAGGGACGTAATGTCAGAGTTCTGCCCGGACTGCTTATTCAGTTCTGATGCAATGTGGAGTCCTAGTGACTTTCTCCAAATTTGTTAAATGTGGGATCTAGTTATAGAAGGAATTAATTTCATTCCAAGCCCTCTCGTCACTGTTGAGACACGATACGGTATGTTGTTTTTCAGTTCCTGTATATAACAGGCTGCTCTCTCACCCTTGCCTTCTGGTTTCACTTTTTCCCATTTTCACTGTGCAGATTTCCTGTTTTGGGTGCGTATGATTTTGTTTTGGGAGATTTGCTATTTTAGGCCCGCAGAGTTTGTATAACACTTCTGAGAAGTACTCTAGTTTTGGTAATTATTACACAGCAAATACAAAGTATACAGTGGGCTTTATTTTTTTTCCCCATCATCTTCACAAAGGCAGCACAACCTTTGTGAAGGCAAATGAATGGAGCTAGACTAGCGCCAGATACGGATTCAAGGCATGCCACAAGTGGGAAGGGAGTTGAAAATCCTAACCAAACCAATGTGAAAGCAAATATCGGATGTTTTCCAAATGAAGACTTCAGTGGTTTGCTCAGTTTCATTCCTGTAGAGACTTTTGTTTGTTCTTTTACAAGCTTGTATTTCAGGTCACTTATCTTATACAAAAGCTTCCTTTATTAGTTGTAAAGGTGAAAACATCATATGCTGGGTAGCATGTTGGTGATCAGATTTGCCTGTGGTGGCTAGTTGCCATTGGGAATAAGTGCTTGTTCCGACCAGCTAATGGAGCTGCTGCTTTAGCTCAGGTGCAGAGGTCTGTGCTAGCTGGCAGAAAGGTTTATCTAATCATACCATTCCAGTTTACATCGAGTGATCTTGGTGAATCTGTCTTCATAAAACCATTCTGTTTCTTTCATCACTGTAGTGTCTCTCTTCTTCCTAAAGATCTGTCCCTGGTGCTGACTCAGCAACAAGTTTGTGCCTCCAGAATAAAGCAGATCCTCACTTCCTTCTGAGTGTTGTGACGATCCTGCTTTCTGCCTTGTAACCTTGTAGGCATTTTGGTGTATATGCTTAGGGCATGCCTGTATTATCACTGCACATGGTGAGTGGTATGCCATGCTCTGTATGTGCTGCCTTGTGATCAGAAGCAGTGCGGCTGCCTTAGTGCAACAGAGCAGGCAGGCTATTTGACTGTGCCCCTCTGAGCTAATTAATCCAGGCACGTCAGGGAGTAGTTGTTCTGTGATAAGTGTGCTCCTACTGGTATTTGTGTGTCCGTATCCTTTCTATGATGGCCTGCTGAGGTCCCTTTCAACCATATCTATGAATCTATTTTTTCACTGAAAATTCATTCTGGTGTAGAGTTTTTGTCTAGTTTTACCCACATTTACCATGAGGACATTTGGTGCACTAGATCGGATGTACGGTCTTTTGGGAAAAGGACTTGTAAGATTCATAGATTTTGTTGAATTCATTGTTATGGGGGTGGGGTGTTGAGTATTTTAACAATGGGGATGTCTTGATAGGTTTTACATCTTTTGTTAAGGCGAAGTTGCATCCCATTTGATGTCTGTTGAACACAGGAAGTTTGCTTCTGGTGATGGGTTGGGTAACATCAGGGGGCTGTTTGAAAGCCAGGAGTGGATGGCCTGGGAATACTTCTCCAAAAGTCTGATCTTTATCAAGTGTAGGCTCTGATTGTTTGATGATTCTTCTAATTGTTTCAAGTATGGGGTGGTAAGTGACCACTAGGAGTGTGTTGTTGCAGAGTTTTGAGGGGGCATTTTAGGGGTGCACTGATAAAGATTTTTTTGCTTGATACCAATGGCTGATTTATTAACCAGCCATTTTGGCTGGTTCCCATCCAATAGCCAATACGCAGCCTGGCAGCTTGGAGAGCGGCATCTGGGTGGTAAGTCTGGGTGGGGAGGGGCGTGGGGAAGGAAAGGGGCATAGGGAGGGCAAATCAAGGCCTCTAAGGTGAGGGAGGGAATGGGGAAGGGGCAAGCGCTCCCCAGCTGGGGCAGAGCAGGGCGCAGAACAGTCACGGGCAGCTCGTACAGGAGGGGGGTGGGGCTTCTGTTGCTGTATGCATCCCTGGCGGAGGCATGTAGGGCATGTGCCCCCCCCAGATCTGTGTGGGGGGCGAAAGCAGGCTGTCTGTTGCAGGCTCAAGGAAAGGGGCTTCGCCAGCTTCTTCCCAGCCGGGGGGAGGGGGCAGCACTAGGAGGGGAAGCTATGGGGTGGGCTACAGTTTGCTGTAACCACATGCCCTGCCCTGGCCCAGCCCCCCTGCTAGGAAGAGACTGGCGCAGACTGCCCACCTTCATCCTGCGCACACATCTGGGAGAGCACGTGCCCCCCATGCCTCCCCCAGGGGTGTGCGTAGTGGTGTGCACCCTGTAGACGAGCCACCCACAGATCCGTCCTGTGCCCTGCCCCACCCTGCCCTGGCTGGACAGCGCCTGCCCCTGCCCTGTTCCCTCGCTCACTATGGGGGCCTTGATCTGCCCGCCCCGCCCCAACAAAGACCGCTCTTCAAGCTGCTGGACTGCATTCCTAGCCACATGCATGCTGTGTCTGCATGCATGCTCGCAGCATTAATCAGTGACATTATCAGCAATTATCTTTTTTTGGCCAATGTGGCCGATAATGTCAATTTTCCTTTTATTAGTGCCAATACAATATGGGACTGATGTATTGGTGCACCTCTAGTTTTAGTAGCAAGTTACTGTAGGACAGTGGTTTTCAGCCTCTGGTCCCCAGACCTCTGGGGTCCACAGACTGTCAAAGGGTCTGAGAGAGATGACTGTAATGAATCAAAGGTATATGAATACCCACACTTACAATTCAGAGGGGTCCGCACCTCTATCTGAAATTTTTTAGGGGTCCACGAATGAAAAAAGGTTGACAACCACTGCTGTAGAATATTTGGGTCTCTCTCAAAGATATGGTCTACTTGTGGGCTTTTTCTGTGGTTGTAGGGGACAGGACTAGGAACAACAGCCTTTCCCCTAGCTTTCTAGCGGGGGAAATTTAGGTTGGGAATGAGGAGGAGAAACTTTCTGACTATGAGGGCGGTCAAGCATTGGAACAGGCTACTTAGAGAAGTTGTGGAATAACCATCCTTGGAAGTTTTCAAAACAGGTTGGACAGACGTTTGGCTGGTGGTTTAGTCAGGGATGACTCTGCCTTGAGCAGGGGGCTTGAGATGACTTTGTGAGGTCCCTTCCAGCCCTACTTTCCTCTGATTCCCATTTTTCAACTGGAGTGTTCTAGTTGAATCAAGATAGATTTCAGAATGCTCTTCATTCAGAAGCTTGTCTGAGTCTATCCCAACCATGCAGTTGGTCCAATAAAAGATATGGCCTGCAAAAATCCTTGTCTCTTGCATAATTCCTGGACCATCACGGTTATAACATCACTCCAACACTACAAAAACATGGTATAGCAATTCAAACAAATTTCTAATTTAAATTTCCTTTCCAGGTTGTAAGTAACATCACTCTTTAGTCATACAGTACGCTGCCACAAGAAAGTTTTACTGCAGATACAGTCCAAATATTTGTTTCTACCAAAATAAGTCTTTTGTAGTAAATGTAGTCCCATCTACTGGTACTTGTATTGGTAAGGTAATGATTGATGCTACTGCACTGGAAAGTAGTGAAATAGTTGTTATACACCCATCCCCTTCACCAGCATTCCCAAACACTGATTCTGGAATAGCTGTAAGATGTCATGTCTAAAACGTTTGTTTTTCTCCTCTTAAACATGCTGTTCTTTTTTGTAGGGCTAGATCCGCTGTCGCCTCCAAAACCAGTAGGAAAAAAACCAGCAGGGGGGTCAAGTTTTCTGAGCTCCCGGTCCCAGCCAAAAAGGAATGAAGAGGAACTTGATCCAACATGTGCAGCAGCAACACTGAAACTTCTACGAGATAAGCTACCTCGGTTCCCACTCCTAGACCCCAGGTCATGATCACTTTAATTGTTTTAGAAACATCACTGTCTTCCTGGCTTTGTCAGTTACAACAGTATTCCCCCAAGGTATATCCACAGATAAAGCAAGCTACAATACAATGTTGCTTACTTGCATTTTAAATTAAAATTTCTTTATGCTCAGATGTGCATACATTGATTGGACCTCTGGCCTTTGCTGATCATTATTTAGAGAATCTTCAGCAAATCTTTTCATGTGGCTCCTGTCCAAAAATAATAATTCTTTTCACTGGGGGAATGGTTTGGTTTGCCAGGGAATGGTTTGGTTTGCCACTGAACAGATAATAATTTTAAGGCTAGGTTAGAAGATAAATAGTTTCAAAAGCCTCAAATTGCCTAGTAACTTACTGAGTGATAAATATCATCTTTTGAAGTCTGTCATTTTGATTTCAAAGAACTGGCTTTGTCAGTCCCATTCAGAGCTTGCTGTAATTCCAATCCTGCCTATGATTTAGCAGTAGACTGATATAAACCATGCTTGCAAGTATGTGATGGGGGAGTCTTGCATTGCCTGTAATTGGAGTAACTTGTTAATGTTTTGATGTCTCCAAAAGTGACACTTACAGTAGAGAACACTAGCAGCCTGACATACATTATTTGCCACCCCCCACACCTTTTTTTCAACTTAGAAACTGAAATGTGAAGTTTGCCATCCCTGTACTGATTTAATTCTCCAGAGATTCTATGGAGTACAGCGCTTTCCCTTTGTAAAAATACAAGTGAATAAGAGCATCATTGTGTGGGCGGCTGAACTGCTTAGGCTCTGCATGGTAATGCTTCCATATTTGGGGACAAATACAATTGTTATCCAACACTACATAACTGGTACTGTTTGCTTGAATTGTGTCATTTCTCTGGTTAGTTATTAGCTAATGATTTAATGGTGAACCAGATCTCTTTACGCTAAGATACTAGAAAGTATGGTGTTTGGGTGGAGAGGACAGCTTCAAACCTGTCTGTCTCATTTTTCTTTATTAATGAATTGTTATTCTTCTGTAATTTGGGACATCAGCAACACCACTGATTCCATGTTTATCTTAGCTGAGCATCCCAAAGGTGCAAGTGTATAAGATGGAACACCGTGAACAGAAAAAAGGATGTTGCAGCCCGTTTAACTACAATACAAACATGGACATAAATCTACAGAAGCAAGACAATTCTAAATTAAGTTTGCAACACCATCCTTGCTGTAGCTCCTGTTATAGTACATCATGTATGATCCATTGCTGCATCACGTATAGACCTTTAGGCTCCTGCAAGACTGGGAAAATATGTTTTTAGCCAGCATGAGCAGAGTGTACAGATAAGCTTAACTGTATATTACTCTGGACTTGTACTACAGTATTGCAGGCTATAGCCTAAAAAAACAAATCCAGTAGAAGCAGTGGAAGTCCTAGTGGATCTAAGCTAATGCAAGTGTTGGTGTGAAAGGTTAATCAAAGCGGAGAAACAGTTGTGATCATTATTGTTCTCTATTGACTTTTTATAATCTTTCCAGTGTGTCTGCAAGTACTGAGCCAACAGCTTCAGGAGAGCCTGACGGTATGGCAACAAAACAAGAAGAAGAGAGAGCTAAAGCTCCTATCATGCCTTTTGGATTAGATCTTTACTACTGGGGACAGGACCAGCCAACTGCTGGGAAGATTCTCAAGTAAATATATTGATGTTTCTTTTAAGATTAAAAAAAAAAATTGACTTAAGTTCTGGTGTTTTGAAGTGAGGTGAACTTTATAATCACTTTATTTCCTTTCCTATATTGTTGTCCATAAACATCCTGGCAAATTCTAATTTTAACATTATACCTATTTTGAGACGTTCATATTTAATTAAGATGCAAACCTTGCTGCGGTTATTTGACCCCAGCAGTCTTTCCTGCCCACAGCAGGTGGGGGCTGGACCCAGTGAGCTCATGAGGTGTCTCTTCCATCCCTAAACTTCTCTGAATCTGTGAACTATCCCTTTACCTTTCAAAGCCTATGTTTCCCCTTGTCTCATGGGCTGTTTGTTAACCACCTCTATTATGGGAGCACCTAGTCCCATTGGCATTGTGTCCCAGTGCTAGCCCAACTAAATGCCTTAACCACAAAGCACATTGCTCTTCCTATGAAGAAGGAACTGTGGTTTCTTATATACAAAGTGGTTGCTAGCTTTGTGACAGGATTTGCAGTACTGTGAAAAGAGTTTACATTTGCCCCTTAGGTATTGTGTTTCTAGCTGGCAATTCTGTCCATTGAGGTCCATTCAAAATACTAATATTTATTATAAAAAGGTGCTATTCAAAGTTCTGCCTCCATGTTTGGCTCACATGGCAGTTCCTGAACAGGCATGGGGAGAGATCCATACATTCTTTAGTAAAGAATGCACAGATTCCAGCATATCAGTATCTGTTGCAGACATTGCCTCCCAAAGCATCATAGACCTCTAGGCCCAGTACATCTAACTGTCAGTTTAAAGTAGAGAACTTGAGTGTCAGACAGGGTTGCCAGTCAAGAAGGCAAACTCTGATATGCTCAGTGGTATTACCTTAACTTTGAGTTTTTCTTACCAAAGCAAAAAAAACTTAATCACAATTGACTTGTGTGGAGGCCTGTAGTAATAACACTGTACAAACAAACCATAAACAGTGCTGCATCCTGAAGCCCAGGGGAAGTATCATAGAAACCATAGAAAATATCACTTACTTCTGCACATATGCACATAGAGAAAAATCGGCTTTCTTGGCACAGGTTCTTTTGTTCCAATCTGCATCTTGGAGGACGGCACCATCACATTTTCTCTTTTCATCCCCACTTCCTAGAAGAACAGCAAACTCCATTTTCTGCTCTTCCCCTCTCATCTTAACTTGTTGATTTCTGGTGCCTTCTTGGACATATATTTAGATGGTTTAGATTTATTATTATCTTGTGTCACAATTCACCCAAATGTGATTAAACTCTTAAATACAGTTCAGAAAATAGCAATGGGACTGGTAGTGTCTGTGATCCAAATCGGGTAAAACGCTATGGATTTTGTATTACTAGGAGGGTAATAGATGGGTCACTGTAGAGAGTGAAATTTGACACAGCATGGTGCTTTAACGCACCCACTCCAAAATCTGTGGCCTGTCCTGTGATGTAGATTCTTCAAAGCCTATAAAATGGTTAAGGTTTTCAGCAAGGCTTTAAGAACCATTTGTCTGTGATACCGCCCAAACTGTGGTAAGGCTTTATTTTACATTGCAAATGAGTTATTCAAGTCATAAGTGAAATCAAAAGCATATTTCACTGCCTGTCTGCCTAGTGCTGTACTGTTTTATTTTTATGCTTCCTAATAAAATAGAGGGCACATTTCTGAACCTTATAGCCTATAACCACAGATATGCCAATCTAACCAAAGATAATTTAAGTAACTGCACACACACAATAGCACTGACATCTGGGTAGAATATATTTACTGAAAAATTAGGATAAGCATTGGCTGGTTCCTTTTGACTTTCTCTGTAGTTAGAAATAAATACAATGCACTGAAAAATAGAAGAAGGGACTTATGCAGCATTTCTACAGATTTGAATTTTTTTTTAATCTTAAGGAAAAAATATTCACACCAGCTGTTCTACACTGTACCTGTTTTATAACACTATTTTAGGGATCAAGGTTTTCAGAGTTGTTACAGGGAGGCGGTAGTTATCAGAAAGCTAATTTTTTAATGGACATATAGTCAGCTGCTGGTGTTCGGTAAACTCTCAAGGAAACTTACAGTGGGCTCTATAAAAAGGTTGGGTTGAACTCTTTAGCAGTGCCAGCTGCTTTTAGTCCAGTAATAACAGCGTGTATCATTGTTTCAAGGAATCTGTCCTTTGCTGTGTGAAGGTCCTAATGCACTTTCTCAGTGGTATATGATGTAAGCAGTATATCGTAAGTACCTGCTCCATCGGAGTTCTGTAGAGGGCACTCACCTTAGTAACAAAGGGCATTTATACGCATGCTTTGGGGAATGTGTGTGTGTGAGGGGGAATGCTTTAATTAGAGTGGCACTGAGAGCTGGTCTAATTAAAGTGCCCAGAGTGGCTCGTGTATCGGCGTCCCTGCACTTAAAAATGGCTGGGGCACTTTAACTGAAGCTCATCAAGCAAACTTTAATTAAAGTGCCTCCGTTGCCATTTTTAAGCGTGGGGATGCTGATACACAAGATGCTGGAGTCCACTGGAGCGTGGTAATTACCGCACTCCAGCAGACTTGATTAATCAAACCTGCTCCGTTGCGCTGTAATTACACGTATAGGCATCCAAAGTTCTAATACGTTTGTCAAGTAATATCACTTGTCCTGTAGCTGCCTCTTCTGGGTGTGGATCTCTCCGCACCTCATTTATTTCTTCTTGCCTCTGTAAGTGAAGCTTCCATTCATGCCTGGGTTGTATGCCTGGATCAGAACCAGACCGTCTCTTAGTGGTTCTCAGACTATTAATCCTACTACATTATTCCAGCTGCTTTGTGCAGCTGCTTCTATTCCACCTGTGATCACCAGTGCCCTGGAAAGTGTCACTTATTCTTGCATGTTCCCCTCTCTCTGTTTGGGTTCTTTTATAGGAAATCACGGCTGTGATCCAACAAAGCAGGCAAGCACAAGCTAAACTTTAACCATGGGAGTCATCCTGTTGAAGTCAATGGGATTACTTGTGTGGTTAAGTGCTTTCTCAGGTTGATTGGAAGAGCTAGGCTTTGAAATTGGAAGCGTAGTGAAAACATAGGACAGCTGAACTAAAACTGCCACATACCCTCCAGAGAAGAGGGCTTGGAGGGAAAGGAGAGTGTCCCATAATAATGAGATTTGCTGCTAATAACTAAAGTCCTGCTTACGAGAAAAGAGGACATAAACAGCAGTTACAAGATGGAGTGCAAGTGGATATAGCTCGTCTTTTGTACCCTCTGCACTGAAGCGGGTTTATTTCCATTATGTGCCTCATGTTCAACTAATACTAATAATCGAGCAGGATTTGCAGTTGGGTTTGAGTGTCAAGGTCAGTCTTCGAAAGAATCTCTCTGACAAGTGATATGCGGCAGAACATTTGAGTCCCATTGCCACCTTGAACACAGGGACAGGCATCAGAGCAGAATAACTCCAGTGTTAAGCACTGGTTTCTTTGTTTCTCGCTCACCTGCAAATATAGTTAGGGTAAAATGATTCGTGTAGGCATCATCGAACTGTAGTGGTTATGAAGATCATCGGCTCCTTTTTAAACTCAGCTCCCTGAAATGTACTGTCTGTCTTTCAGAAAACTATAAAGAGGAAAACAACGTTTTGATTACATAAGAATACACCAGACATGTATTTTTTTTTCCTTCCTTTCTGAATAATGTGTTAAAATATCAAATAACACTTGTCCTCTGTAAGAAGGAAGATAACTTTTCTTGCATGGATTCAGGCTTTATAATTTGAGAGAGAAAAAAGATCAAACCACCAGGGGGCATTAGAATTTTACTGGAAGATCATGTAAGACTACTTTGCGCATATCAAACTAAAATACTAGTATGGTGCTTTTTTAGGTATCCTATCACTTCCTTATGTCTTTAAGATTGTTGATATGCAGCCTGGAGTCAATCCTGTTTTAGAGAATGTATTTAAATGAAAAACAGAAGAGTGAACCAGACTCTTATATTTTTATAGCCATCAGTTTACAACTCTACCACATCACTTGTAAAAACACTGTATTGTTTAATAATTTCATGAAAGTACTGTTTTTATATTTAAATGGGATTTAATGGTATTTTGTTGTAGTATTTTTTTTTTGCTAGTGTTTACAAAGATTTATTTTTTTTTACCATGGCAAATATGAGACACACTCACCTTACTGCAGTTAATATTGAAGCAAGCCTTTGGTTATAAATTTGGTTTTGACCCCCATCCTCCTAATTTTGCCAAAATTCCATTACTCCCTGTATGCCAGGGGAGAACTTTTCCAGAAGAGGCAAGTCTAACGAGACTTGCTAGATAGGAAGATTAAAAAAAAAAAAAGAATGATTTTACTACTGAATTTTAAAAAATGTTTTGGCACACACTAATTAGTACTTACTAACATACTAACTGTTTCGTTTAATAACTCAGCCTAATTTAATTTAAATGGAGAGTAATTTCACTAAAACCAATGAAATTATACTTTCTGGAAGCTGATATGAAATCTGATGCAGGTCCTTCAAATTTGTTTTAATGTTGTTTGAGGAGTCATTTATGCCAAATTCAACAAAAAGTTTCAGCACAGTGACTTCGCTAAAATTTGAGCACTTGCTGGTATGCTCTGCTAAATCAAGAGCTTAGTTTTATTAATGTGTTTTTTGCTGGAGGCAACAAAGTGTGCAGGGCTCATTACTGAAGGACAGTAGACAAGGGGCCATGTGAATGGGTGGAATGGGACACAGAGTGGTGGCGGGTACACAGAGAGCCCAGAGGCCAATCTGGGAGTAACTGGGAAGGAGAAACTTGCATGTGAAGGTGCATGCCAGTTGCTCAAACCTTAACACCGTGCAGACAAAGTTCTTATCGAGATTTCCTTCACTCAGTGTCTCCATCTTGCTAATGCCTAACCTTTTAGCTTTGTATTTCAAGGGTCTCTGTTCCACCTGTCTTGAATAAGAAATATACTGTCTTTGCTTCAGGTTACTGCCATTTTTGTGTGAGAGAGAATATTTCTACTTCTCATAAAATAACTATAAATTTAGGTGAAATCTTTCTAGTTTTAAAGTAAATTTTCACTGTTTTGCTTTTAGTTTAGCAAAAGAACATCCAAGCACTTCCTAACTATGTAAGTGGTGTTAGCAGTGTAGAAATTAAGAATTAGTTACTAAATCTAGAATAAAACGTGATGCAATGTGAATTTGAGTATTTACTCCATTATCTGGTCAGTAATATATATTGCAGGTTATTGAAGCTTTACCAGCCACTTCCTTGCTGCTACAGGTTAAAGGAGCAGAAATACCAATACCCTCACTGTTCATCTCTGCCTTTGCTCTGCTTCTTTTGGACAGTTGTTTAGATGAGGGGAGTATTAATTACAGAGTTATGTACTTTAATTGGGTTTTGGTCTACTTTAACATCTAAGTGGTGGCAAGTAGAACTAAAATTTTGCTTGGTGAAAGTTTTAAGAAATGGAGGCCGATGGGTATTTTTGGTAAACAAAGATGCCAGTCAGGCTTCCATGACAGTTTAAAAAAATCTTCACAATATAGCAGCCATCACTGAGAATTGCAGAGCTCTGGGTTTGTTTAACTCATGAGCATATTTGTGTACATGAGTAGGGACCACCACTAATTCAGGCTCTGGCAGGGGGGAAAAGTGAGCTCCCTACAGGCTCGCTGGAGCCAGTTTCAGGGGCTCAGCCTGTATTAGTCTGCCCCTGGAAACACATGGGACTTCCACAGTGTTTCTGGGGCTCTGCTGCCCTTCTCCATGCTTCAGGTAAGTTTTTAACTTCTTTCCCCGCACTCTCTCTCCCCAATGGTTTCAGGCCATTTCCAGCCAAATCAGTTTTCCAGGGCTTTGGGGGAAACACTAAATATCATGCTTTCCCCTGAAATCTCCTGAAGCCTGAGTTGCAGTGGTCCCTATATATAAGGAAGAAAAACTTTGAAAGAGGAATTGTTTTTAAGGGCCAAAATCCCTTTTTTCTACACTTCTACTTACTGATCCCAATTTGTGTCCGAGTCCAATGGGGTTGTTACAGGTGCACAGTAAAGACGGGATTGGGCTGTGAACAGAAAAGCTAAGTATCTGTGGGGTTTTTTTTCCACTAGATTTTCCTCTCAGCATCGGTTTTGGGCCCCCAATGAATTGGAAGAAGAGGTGGAAAATAAAGAAGTATCCGAAATGTTAAAAACCAGATACATAACATTTGCTGGCAAGTTTGAACCAGTGAAACATAAATGCAGAGCGCCAATGCCTGATGGAAGTCTATGTGAAAGACAAGATAGGATTAAGGTGGGCACCCGATAACAGAAATTCCTGAATATGCAATATGTAGACAGGATCTCATTGTTCAGGTGTTGAGATCTCGTTGGAAACTAGGCTAAGAAGTGGGAATTCATATTTGGAGAGATCTGATCTTGGTTTGCTCAACAGGGCAACTTGAACTTGCCTGTTTAAAAAAAAAAAAAAAAAAATTCTTCCCATGAGAGAAACTGTAAATATTTTTTATTTAAATGGCTGTGGTCCACTGTGAAAGAACTCCATTCTTTATTAATGGTGTAAACATTGGAGACATTCTTTTTATTTAAAGGGATATCGCATTAAATATTGATTTTTGTAATACAGGTTTCTTTATCCCTGTTACAAGTAAAAGTTTGGAGAATTAAAACATATATAATTTTAAAAGTTTCTCTTCCCTTTTCACTGTGTGTTTGTTTACTTTTTGCTACCCTCTTCGTTTGGATAACAAACTAGATGGGTAAACGTCATTTTTGTTTAGTCATTTCTAGCTAGTTAGTAGCAGGATATTTATTGTGCGCTCAGAAAAAGTTACATCTGCATGAGAAACATTTCAAGGACTATTTAACAAATAGTTGAGGAGCAGCTGTGGTGAAGAAAAGGTTAGTCATTAGAGCTTATAAGGTTAGTTATTAGAACTAGTGTTTATATTGGTCTTAGCTAAGTATTTATGCTTATCACTGAAGCATCTGAGTTACCTGACAAGCCATCAGAGACCAGTCTTGCTTCTGACTGATTCTTCCTTTTCTTCATTCCATGCAGTTAGTTTTGTGGGAAAAGCCAGGAGAGGAGCTCTCAAGATTATATGAAAATCTAATTCTACAAAACATAGGGCTAAATGAACAGTAGTATACTTCCTTAGCATTAAACATCTTGTTGTAATATTACAGTATTAAATGGTGTGAATGTGTTCAGATATTTAAAATGGGATTTAAAATCCTTCATGCTAAGGATTTAGCTTTGAATATACAATTGCATAATTAAAAACTGAGGTTGCAGAGTTAACATAACTCGTTTTTCAACGGTTACTTTGCTATTTCATACTTTGATCTTTGACTTCAGGTTGTTAAGGGCTTGATCCTATGAGGTTCTGAGCATCCTCAACTCCCACAAATGTCTATTTATTTCGGTGGGAGTTGAGGGCTGCCAGTGCTGCAGAATCAGGTCTAGTATGCTGGGACAAAGTATATTACTTAATTCCAGGGACTAGTTACCAGTAATGTGGGATTATGAGGAACTGTTTCTTTTATTCAAAAGCATCATTTTTCCTCCTGAAGTGCCCTTTCCATGGAAAGATAATCCCTCGGGATGAATCTGGGAATCCTGTTAATCCAGAGGACAAAGCCAGAGAAGAAAAGCTGCGGTTTGAGAAGCAAGCACAACAGCCAGGTTTGTGTGCACTTATGTATGTGTGATGGAATGAAAATATGTCACAGAATTTGAAGGAGCTGTGAAGTACACTCTGAGCGTAAGCATAGCTATTAGATGGTTTCGGTAATATGTATAATAGAAAAGACAGTCTTGCTTTTTTATCAGCATACCATCTTGGTATTGTCACAGAAAGAATTTGGAAGAAAACTTTTCAATATGACGTTATCAGCAGATGTTACTCTCATACTCTTTTTACGTAAAGTAGTAGGTTTTTCTCGACTTGAACAAAAGTTTTACATTTGTAAATTGTTCTGCCCCATCTCCTTTCATAAATAGACATCAAGAAAAGTGTTTACCTTGGTTCTTTACCAGTAATTACATATATTTAGCTCTGCAACAAGATTCTTGATTGGGCATAGTAGCCTGCCTTTAGGAGAGTCTTCTGTTGAACTGGCCACAACTCACGGAAAACAAGACTGTTGGCTAAAGGGATGTCTACCCTGCAGTCCAAAAGTGTGATTGCAAAACATGCAGACATGCCCAGGTTACCTATAATTTAGCTAGCATGGGTACCAACAGCTATCTACCTGCAGCAGTGGAAGTTCTACAAGCTTTCCTGGGAACCTGGGTATGTACCTAGTGGCTGAAACCAGCATCTCTGCAGCAACACTGCTGTCGGCACACAAGCTAGCTCTGGTTTGCCTGCATGAACTTTTCATTTAGGGATGGATTAGGGCACAGACACCATCAAAGTGCCTAGGACATCAGCTTTCATTTAAACAAAACTGTTTCTACTCCTTGTGGTTGTGAGGAAGGTGTTGAAAATGTCACCTGAGTGCAAGCAGTGCAGAAGCGGCCGCCTCATCCTGTAGAGCTCTGAACAATAGCTTTTAAGAGAGGAAAATTAATCCCCTGAACTCAGTGACATGTCAGCTCTGAAACCTGCTAGTCTGGGAGTTCCCGCTGACACTGTGCTGATGGGGGAACTCAGTCTATGATGAGGCTGGATACCTTCAATGCCTGGCTGTGCCTGAGTCCCTACGCATATTCTGGGATGGTTGGAAAAACTGGCTTAAGCAGAGCCTGTGGCTTATCTGAAGGCAGGGGTGGAAGGGAACACATACTTTAAGTCAGACGTCCACTTACCTGAAGAGCGAGGGAACTGAGGATAAGGAAGAATGAATCATTCTTGCTGTCTGGAAAGAATGGGGTGGGTCTTTCATAGGTTCTCTTAATCCTTCTGTTGCAATTGTGTAATCATTTGGGCTGAAATGTCCCCTATTACTCTCTGCTTCTGGTTTGAAGTTTTTGGAAGGCTTCAGAAAATAACATTCAGTGATTTTCTCTGGGGGGGGAAAAAAAAAGATTGTGCAAAAAAAAGTTTTGTCGGTGCTGTATTCACCCCAATCAAAATGATTGGAGCTCTTTCCCTATATGGGTTTAGAGCAGGAATTTGGATTGATTTGCCATGTAGATAGTCCTGGGATCAGAGACTTTTTGCTGTCCCCATAAAAATGTACCCTTATTTGGCAGAGCTCTTTCCCAGGTCTGTTTGCACGTGCCGTGAGCTTGATAGAAGGTGCTGCCACAGTATCTGTTAAAAATCTTCCAACCCGACAGAACTCCCTCTACCCCACAGTAATGGGTGCGTGGTGGGTCCACCTCTGGATCTGTGGATTAAGAAGGGGAGGGGGGCTGACAGCAGTGCTCAAAGCAGCTCCTCCTTTGCTGCTGCGTTGGGAGATCAGGAGTTCATTTCTCAACTCTTCTGTTGACTGGTGTCAGTAATTATCTGCATGTTTTAGCCCTTCCTATTGAGCAAGCTACTACATTAGGAGTCCTGTGGTGAAAAGCTGCATGTGGTCACTTTTAGCAGAGTTGGGAAGAGAACCCCAATCTCTGATACTTGAGCCATATTGACTTTCTGAGTGAATCATAGAATCATTGGGTTGAGAGGGACCCCCCAGGGGTCCCAGGACTTCCCAAGCCCCATGGGTTTGAGCTCTGGCCCAGAGTCATCTAGTCCAACCCCCTGCACAAATGCAGGACTTACTGTTCCCAAATCATCCCAGATAAATGCTTATCCTGCCTCTTGAGAATCTCCACTGAGCGAGCTTCCCTGAGGCAGCTTGTTCCTTAGACTCCTGCTGTTCTTACAAAATTTAGGAAGTCTTTCTTTAGATCTAATTTAAGTCTACTTTAAAAGCCACTGCTTTGTGTCCTGTCCTCTGTGGCAAGGAAGATCAGTTGTTCTGACTCTGATTTATGGCAGCATGCCAAATACTTAAAAACTGTTACTATGTCCCCCTTGGTTTCCAAAACTAAACATATCTGGCTTCCTCATCCTTTCTTAGTGTGGGTTGCAGCATGCCAAATATATGTGGTTGATAGACGATCCTGCAACACCAGGAGCAGGACAAAGAGTCTGTTCCTACTTTCTCTTGTATTTCTGTTGTATAGCAAATATTGGTTGAAGTGCATCATGTGTTCCTCCCCAAACTAATGACTGTGGTCCACATAAGCAATAGCTTCAGAGTTGCTATCATGGGCTTAAAGGTCCTGGGTTCCAGTCCTGTTGCTGACGCATGTAGCAGTGCAACATTGTGGAACTTATGGTTTGGGATTTATTATTTTTTTTAAAAGAAGTAGAAAATTCTGTACAAAGAATTACTGTATTTACCCAAACCAAGATGACTTCAAATGTAAGACTACTCTCCCCAATAACTAGATTCTATATATTATAAATTTGTTTTAGTCTTCCATGTGTAGAATCTAATTAATGAAGGTCATCTTAAATTTGTCCCTTCCCCCACCCCCATTCTGTGATGGGGAAAGCAGTGGCAAGAGGCCAGACTTCTGCCCCTTGTTTCCCCCCCTCCCATGCTTACTCCCTGCCATCCCACTCCGTGCCTCCCCCTGCTCTCCCCCATGCAACCTACCCCACCACCCTTGCCTCTCTCTGCCCTCCTACTCCCTGTCTCCCCTTATCCTCTGCTAAAGCTCTGTTCCTCCAGGGCAGTCAGGAGCAGTGGCAGCCCCTGCCTAGCCCCAGCCCAGGCAGGGAGAACTGGCAGCCAGTCAGGATCAGGTCTAGAGGGACTGGAACTGGAGCAGAAGGTAAGGGGGATCTCCCAGTGTCAAAAAACCCACTGCACTGCAAATTAGTGTGGTGAATAGATGCACATGTGCTGCATGTGGCTTGCAGCGCTTCATATGGGTTTGAGGCACTGCAAAGCACACATGCACACTTTTCGGGACACACCCCTAGGATCCTAAACACTTCACTTCCCAAATAGATAAGATCGGACCTGCAACATGACAGCTTACATTTTAAAGGACAGTTCAGTCAAGTTCCTGGGAAATGCTTGATGGGAGTTGTTTCTGTATTTCTGAGGAAAGCTAACATTTCCAGCCAGGTACATGCAGTGTGTGATCATATCACTATGTTATTTGAGTCGGTGGTATCAGGAATCCTGGCTGAATGTTTGCAGTGTCTTGGGACAGGAATTTGGTATTCCCCGTGTCCACACAGTATTATTATTACCCACTTCAGAAAGAGAAGTCTTAAGGAATTATCATCACCTGAAAGCACCCTCAAGCTGGAAAGAATTGTCTTATCCATATTCCTAGTTCATCCCTGCTATTATTGGCATTTTATTTTAACTTAATCCAGAACTCCCAGTAGGCATGGCTGCTTAGTTTTATATATAGTTAATTTGGCTGCCAGCCTTCCCAGGAAATCTCTCTTCAGAGTATAAATGTGAGTATTTGCTCATCTTTGTCATCCAAAAAGAAGTGTTTTGGATATAAACAGTGGCCTAGACTTGTGCATGCCAACAGTGTGGTCATTTTGCTTTAAAAAAAAAAAAAAAAAAAAAAAGTGTTTTAGACTTCCATTAGTTCTGCCAACGCAACAGACACAGGGAGCTGAATGAGTACTTATTCTTTGGGGGGAGAAGGGGCTGCTTAAACTATAGACACAGAACCTAATGCTCTGGTGTAAAAATCACTCGCACCGAAAACTATTGATTATTTTCTTTATTCTGTGAAGTTGACATTCCTCTAGGCTAAAGACAATACTTATTTTTGCTGCAGTGTCTGAGTGGTGCTGTTAGGGAGATGTTCACCTTTGGCCCAGAAGTATGTGCATGCAAGTCCCAAGCTAGTGTTGACATTGCTGTATTGCTGAGTGCTCTCCTTAAGCTAAGATGCCATGCAAAGATGTCTCCTTTCTGCCTATCTAGGGAGAAGCTAAAGAACCTATTGCACTTGATTCCTTAGCCAGAACTTCAGTGAATTTAATTTAAACAAAGTGTGTAGCATCTGTCTGCACATTAACTAAAATTGAGTCTATTTCTCCACTGACCTTAGAATTTTTTTCATGGCTAAATCCTTTACAGTCATGATCTCCTTTGCTGTTTTAATCAGTTTTCAAAACATCAGTGATGTTTTTTCTACAAAGGACTTGCAAGAGACTTGTCATACTGTCACCAAGTGGGTCAGTGTAGTTATGATGAGTGTGTGGAAATATAAGCAGGGATCCTGGTTTTCTCTGATTAAAAAATAATCCCCAATTTTTAGCTTAAAAAAAGTAACCCAAAATCCACACTTTTCTGTGATTTTTAAAATGAAACACCACTATACATCCATCTCTTAGTGGCGTTTCATTTTAACGGATTCTCTTCCACGATTGTCTTATCTGTGTGTCCAAAGATGGGTGAGGAGGCCTATCCAGGATTGACAGACTCTACTGCAGCTTGGACATGTGTTTCCATGTAGAGTACTAATAGATGGATATATAGTGGTGTTTCATTTTAATCATAGGAAAATGTGGATTTTAGGTTACTTTTTTTAAGCTGAAAATTGGGGATTGTTTTTTTCAGAGAAAACCAAGATCCCTGTTCATAAGGCAAGGCAGACGAGGGACTGCTTTAAGAACCACCTGTCCTGCATATGCTTTGTTCATGTGACTAGCAATGGCGTTCCACATGTGGAAACGTAGGGATAAGTCCTAATGATGAAGCATGCAGTCACTGAACTGCATTAGAAAGTGGGAGCATAGGAGGTATTTTGGTTACGTACCACAGCATTTTCGTGGAAAGACATAATGATAACCCCTCAATAACCTTGTTTGTGTCCTGTCTAGTCTTGTGAGGCTGTAAAGAACGAGTGGTGGGTGTGTATAAAAGCTTACCGTTTCGAGCCAAGATAACATACTATAGCTGTTCTAAAGAAACATTTGCACACCCATTCCTTTGCCAAATAACTCATCTTCTCTTAAATATAAAATGTATTCCTTTCTAGGATATTTGTAATATAACTTTGCATATCTTTGTAATCTTCTCCGGCAATCCCTCTGTCGGGGATGATTCTCTTCCATGATTGTCTTATCTGTGTGTCCGAAGATGGGTGAGGAGGCCTATCCAGGATTGACAGACTCTACTGCAGCTCAGATATGTGTTTCCGTGTAGGGTGGGTGGCACTGGATTCTTCATTTGGTATGCGACTCGCTGTTTCTGCCACTCCTGTTTTTCCATCTCCTGTTGTCGTCGTGAGGTTTCAAAGTACTGAGATACCTTCAATAGACTCTTCCTCCATTTGGGGCAGTGCTGGGTGATAATCTCCCATGAGCTAACATCAATGTTGCATTTTTTTAAGTTAGCTTTGAGGACAACCCTGAAGTACTTCCTCTGCCCTCCCCTTGAGCGTACACCTTGGCTGAGCTGGGGGAATAAAACTTGCTTCAGGAGTCTGAAGTCGGATGATAGGGCCAGCCCAACAAAGTTGATGTCAGATGATTGTCACCTTAATACTCATGGTGTGGTTGCAGGAGGATGCTAACATTGGTGCATCTCTTTTCCCACAAAATTCAGAGGATCTTCCTCAGGCAGCACTAATGGTACTTCTCCACCAACTTTAGATGTCTCCTGCACGTTGGCCATGTCTTGGCTCTGTACAGCAAGGTGGAGATCATGACTGCTTGATAAACCATAAACCATGAGCTTGGTTTTGGATCTGATGTCATGATCTTCAAATACTTGTTTCTTCATGTGTCCAAACACCCCACTTGCATATTTGAGGTCACGTTGGATTTCTTCATCAATGTCAGCCTTCTGCGTGAGATGGCTTCTGAGGTACAAGAAATACTCAACCTTCTCCAGAGTCTCTATGTGGATCTGGATTACTGGAGCTGGGGACTGTTCATAAGGAGCTTGTTGGTAGAGGACCTTAGTTTTCTGAACGTTAGGCATCAATCCCATTTTCTTGCATTCCTTGGTAAAGATGTTAGCAATTGCCTGAAGGTCTGCTTCCAAGTGAGCACATACTACAGCATCATCAGCATATGGGAGCTCAGTAATTGAGGTTGGGGTGGGCTTGGTTTTGGCTCAGTTGACTGAGGTTAAACTGCTTACCATCCATTCGGTAGTTTAGCTCCACTCCACCTGGAAGCTTGTTGGTGGTCAGATGTAGCATCGTGGCAAGAAATATTGAGAAGAGTGTTGAAGCAATGACGCAGCCTTGCTTAACTCCTTTTTTTAACCTCAAAGGGATCCGTGATAGATCCATTACTGAGAGCCACCACTCTCATACCATCGTGGAGCAGGCAGAGAATAGTGATAAATTTCAGTGGGCATCCATACTTCAGAAGGATCCTTCACAACACTTCTCAGCTGACAGAGACTAAAGCTTTAGTGAGGTCGAAGCTTTCCTACCTGAAGGAGTCAGTCCAGTTCCTTTAAATAAATATATATATAGACTTTAATTAACGTTTACTATTCCTGATTTTTAAGTGCATGAATTTCTAAAGGATAATGCAAAGAAGCTCTCTCTTATCATTAATTGATAGTTCTTGCCCAAACTTTAGGCTAGCTCAGGTCACAAGGAAGATTAAATTTTCATCTCTGTTACCGAATGGAAAAACAATTATGCAAAAGAAATGCATTTCATGCTATATATGACCGAAGTATGTCTGGGCGATTACCGTCACTGCTAAACTCTTCCTTTAATAATTATCAAGTTTCATTTTTTTTTTTTTTTTTATTTATTTTTTTTTTTTTACTTGATACTTACTATAAAATATTAGAGTCTAGCCAGTTGTCCACAAAATGGTGCTCTAGGCTCTTTGGCCCTGAAACAATGAATCATGAGGGATTACACTGACCTGCTAATCTGCAGTGTTCATCCTTTTCCAATAGTTCGCACACAGGAGCAAATTAAGTGCCTATTTTTTGTGTCAACCCTGAAGAGTATCTGGTTTTTCAGCCCTTAGTGACTTGTTAACAAACAGGTATCAGGACAAGCTGGTGAAGGCAGGCCGCTGGCCAGTCAGATGTGAAATAGCATCTCTTTACTAACTACAGTATTGATTCCCGCCTACCCTTGCAAACTGTGTAATTTTCTTTTCCCTGCTGCTAAACTCAGTAACAATGTATGAAGAGCTTTAGGGGCCCATCAATGCTCAAAAAGGCTGCTCTTCCCTGGCATTCTATTGATTTTTCTCAAAGGCTTTTAAATTGCTCCTTCATTTTACTCAAATGCTCATTTCATCTCTACTGGATGCCGGCATTTTTTCGTTGTGTTTAAACAATTGCTCCATTCACTGGGTTCCTAAACTGTGACGCCTTCTTATTACTGGGAGATAAACTGTTTAGACAGTTTTCCTTAATCTTGGATTAATCGTTCCTGTATCTGAATTGTGCTGCTCTGTATTCCTTCACTTCAAAAAAATAAACTCTGTGAAATCTTATGATCTATCAAGTGTGTGTTCTATTTTCTCCCTTTATAGTTCCCCTTCTCACTTCACAGGTCCATTTTCCCTGTCCCTTTGTCTGCGCCTAATTTTAATCTTGCTCTTATTTTCGTATATAAAACTAATAGGTTAGATCCAGCCTTTACCTGCAGAGATGTGTTAATACTCCTAAACAGTATCTTTTTAGTACTGCTAAGTGGAATAGCCTTGGACCTACATGAAACACTACAACCTACAGCTCTGCCCCAGCCTGCGATTGGTTTTTGCTATACAAGTGAAATTATAGGTTTAGTAAGCCTAGCAGCACCCTGGCAAATTTACTATCCCCATTTTGTGAATGAAAGTATTGATTATAAAAGTTGAGTAAAATGCATGAGTCTACGTGACAGGTTATTGGCAGGGAGACATTAGAGCCAGTTCTAGGCTTCTAACATTTTTACTCAGCTTAGTAGACAACATCGCCTTTCAGAGTGGCACTTCCAATTATATTTTCCTAACCTATAATCTGTTTAAAAATAGCTCAGATAATGTGTGTGTGTGTGTGTGTGTGTGTGTGTGTGTGTATACTCCCTCTCACACAGAGAGATTGGAGGGGTGTGTGAGAGCATTTTTGAAAATGCATCCAGATTGATTTTTCTATTTTAAGGCAAATTGAATAGTATTTCCTCCTGCTTTGACCAGTAAAATAAGCCTACTTATTATCACAGTAGCATCCATTCCTTCATTCAGTGAGAGAGGCTTTATTGTGCTAGGAACTGTACCAAAAATGGACAAGAAAATCCCTTCCCCAAAGTATTGTGTCTGTGCTTTTTCCTTAAGTTGGCATCTGAAGTTGGAACTGATAGCATGAATTCCAACGCTCAAACTTAAAGATTTTGCTTAGTAAAAAGTTGGATTTGAGCAATTAAACTGGTGAGGTTGAGGTGTTTTAAAAGGGAAAACTTTCCCACGTAGAATATCCATTGGAAGATATTAACTGCACTTTTTTTTTCCAACTTCATTTTTCCAAAATTGACTCTAGTTTATAGACTCCTCAACCCAGAGGGGCTGTGTCGTGTGCACTTAGCAAGATTATTTAGGCCGCCTCTGCCAGGTGAAGTACTTTCAGGGATTCTGCTGCTGTGGTGTTATAAATTGACTCAACATGCCTAATGACTTCATAGGAAACAGTATGGACCACAGCAGTTGATACTAGTAGGGCTATAACACGATCCCCCTTCACCAGTGTGGTCATGATTTTTTCTTAGAGATCTCTGCTGTAGAGTAGCTCCCTTATCCCTATTAGTATCAGATCAAGTAGTTTCTACATAAAAATTCTTGCTGTAACATGGTTTTGCCCTCAAGAGTGAACAGGCTTTAATCCAGGCAACTTGTATTAACCGGGACTGTCTAAGGCTTAAAACATTTGTTTTTCTTTTTTCCTTTCAATAGAATGGCAAGACCCAGAATTTATGAGAGAGGTTGAAGCAGCTACTGGGGTGGATCTTGGATCTTCTAGATACAGTGGAAAAGGGAAAAAGAAAGGAAAAAAGAAGAAATACCCAAATCTGACTGACTTGAAACAGCAGGCTAACACAGCTCGTTCCCGGCTTGAGAAAAAAGTCTTCAATAAGTAAGCTGTTCACCTTATCTGAAGCCCCTCAACCCCTCTCCAGTGCTTTACTTTATTTTTTATTTTAGATGCTGTTTCCACCTGAAAAAGCAACATGGAAATGGCCGTCAAAAGTAACTATAGGGTAGTCGTGTTTTTGTTTGACAGGATGGAGCAAAGGGCAGTAACGTATTGATGAACAGGGTCACGCCTGAGGAAATGCTTCAAAACTGGAATTCATAAAACTGTGCTTAAAGGATAATCTAGTCTTCTGTTTGTTTTCCTTGAACCTACCTATGCAGTTGTGGCTGCTTCCTTGGTAACAGGTGAAAGCTTGTATATGTGAGCACAAAGTACAGGGATTGAGAAATGGGACAAAGGCCACTTAAAATGACACAGGATACATTTTATAGCTTCAGTTTCGTGTTTCAGAAATGGTGATTAAATAGAGCACTTATAGATTAGTAGATCTGGTGGACCAATAGTAAAATCTAAAACTTTGATCTATTGCTGTGCTTCCCTAAACCCCTAGCTGAAAGGAGCAGATGCTGGGAATTCAGGCTCCTAAATTGATATAGTATGGAACAAGAAGTGACCTCTTTCTGTTTTTATGCATTGATATTCAGGTTGCTGAAGGAAGCAGCTAACATCAGGCACAGTAGCTATCCCATTTTAATTGTAGTGTGGTTTCCCAGTATATATTTAGAATCTGATCTGCTGCCTGCCCTGACAAAAGTAATGGTACTATCGTTTACTCTTGTTGGCCTTATTTGAACTTTGCATCTACAGAGGAGTTTGCTGGAACCTATTTACATATGCTTACATACATGTGTCAAGGGAATAAGAAGCTGAACTCTGGTTTAAGAATATTTGTTACTGGCAGTAATGACCACAACAAAAGGAAACCCAGCTTGGCTCTCGGGATGGTGATACAGGTGACGTTTTGTCATACAGTCAGCTCCCTGAAGTGCTCTACAGCTGTGCCTGGCTGCAGAGCCTGTGACAATCTGAACCCTCATTACATGAAGATGCTCCAAAAGAGAGTAACTTCATTAACTTGTATCAGCGCATGCTAGGAGTAGGGCTGGGTTGACACAGAATGGGAGCAGATGAAGAGAGCGAGGGAATTCAGTCGGGTTTGCCCAGCCGGCGCTGGAGGCACCCACCCCACCATCCGGCCTTGGCTGGGCCAACCCCAGACTGAGCTCCCTCCCCTCCCATTCTGAAGACAGCGGTGGGCAATGCTGAGGGAGAGTGGCTTCAGACCCTCAGCCACTCCAAACTTGCATCTTGATCCCCCAACCCCGGGACCCAGCAGCGAATGTCTTTTCGGTCTGGGGGATTGCTGTACCTCATGGCACTTTGTAGAAAATTTCAAACAGTATAAGTCATGGGCAACTGGTGCCTCCCAAGTCCTGGGGGGCACCAGATCGCTGAAAGGGGAAGAGAGTGTCTCCCAGCAGCAGCCGATCGCCAACTGGGGGTGGGGGAGTCCCCCAGTGGCTGATCACCAAGCCAGCAGCAAAATCGGAAGTGCACTTTCAGTTTTGCAGCTGGCCCTTCCAGGAGGTGCGCAGCCAATCTCAGGGGGTGCACATGTACCCACGTTCACCCCCTACGCATCGCCAATGGCATGAGTAGTATGACCAAAGCGAGTGGAACAGCATAAACAAGTCAACAAATCAAAAAGCAAACTATTCAGTGTTCCCTAAGCAATCATGGAGGCTGGATTATATCCTAAGAACCTGACTGAACTAGTCAAAGAGCATCCTTGGGATAGTATTTGTTTCAAAATTGTATTTTCCCTCGTCTGATGTAATGGTTGTTACAAGTTAAAAAAAAATCCACGTTGTTTTTGGTCACAAAATATTGCATGTTCTGTGAAATTCTCATATCATCTGATCTTAGTCAGAGGAGTCAATAAGCCATAAAGTTCTAATAATCAGAATTTCACATCAGCCTTTAGAAAATAAATTTAAAAAGCTGTTTTTGGTTTACTATGCTTTGTGCTAATGATTTTGAGTGTGTTAGTGCCAGGCGTGGGGAATCAAACCTGTCATGTTTTAATAGGTTTCATGGTTTGCAGCACTAAACAAGATGATAACCTTGGCTCTTTATAACAACCCCAAATTACTTGAAATGTACAGGTGATAAACCCAGGCTCTGGTCTGCCAATAAAGTTAAGTGAAATTGCACACAGATCATCAGAGTGGGATCTCATTTCATTTACAGTATCGCACAACCCAGCGGTGCTAATGTAAAACCTACATGACATGAAAGTGTCAAGGCCACTGTGCAGTGCTAAAGGCTCACTTTTCTCCTACCAATTAGGTAATACTTGAAGTGCAAAACCATGACCATGTTTTCCTCCTTTTGACAAGACCAGAGCTACAATATCCCTGTTAATTTTTCTGGCAGAGTTTTTATTAAAGGGACATCACTTCCAAGGTTTTTTTCAGAATATTGACATTTCTTGCAACTGGTGCCGAGGAAAGCTTTAATTAATCCATTTAAAAGCATTATGGATAAGTTTCCTCTGGTTTTAGATGTTTCAAAATAGCTTTCAGAGGGTAAGTGTTTCAGGGAGCAGTTACTTATATTGAGGGAGCCGGAGTGCTGCTTACAGCATTTGCTATCACTATAATAGCCCAAGTTGAAAACATGAAGACCTTGATCATGCTAGATGGTCAGCATCCTCTGTCTGTTGACTACCTTGCAGGCCAGACATTTGCAGCTATGGCCACCGTTGATTCAGAAATGAAGTCTGAGGATATCTGGGTCCTGACATACAGTAATTGCTTCAATCTATTATCAACCACATGGTGCAGGGGAGAGACCTCCAAGAGCCAGATTTCTGTAGTAAAATTGTGGGCAGCTAGAATCGGCACCATTTTTTGAAACTGGATGGAGCTTTTTGCCTGTCCACTCCCCAGCTGAGCAGAACTTGTGGGCTTTGTGGAATAGGAGAAAATTCCTCTCTCTGTAAAGAGAGCTGGGCTGGGGGGTGGAAGGACACAGTTCTAGACATCTGATAGCTCTGAAGCTGAGGTTTTCTGTCCAATAAGCTCTACACAGAATGAAGCTTCAAATCACCCCTAATGCATTCTCCAATGGAGAAAACAAAGGTTGCCATATGCTCAAGCACTCAGTGCCACTCTCCTCAGTTTCCTTCCTTCATTCTACACTCCATGGTCACTAGTACGACACTCCACCATGTGTGTATGTACGTAAAAAAGGGAAAGCAGCATCCCTCAGCACCCTACCTATTGGTATCAAAAGCAGCCAACGGATGGGGGGGAACTCCAGAGTCTGGCAGAGCATGGTTTCTGTATGTAGCACACACTTATCTAAGTATTGGGCCTGCCACAGTATGTGTGCTCAGAGCACAGTTTGTCTGTCCCACTCACCTTACCTGGCTTTACTAACCTTAAAGCAAGTTAAACCATATCTCTTCCTCCCCTGGTCAAATTTATAGTGGTGCCAGTCCCCACCACATTGTGAGGTCCTGCTGTTCTCCTAGGTGGGGTTCATAGGGGGACTCGTGTTCACCATTCCCCTCTTACCACCTTCCTTCTCCCCCCCACCCCCCGGGCTAGGCTCTGTTCCAGGCTTTACAGGAGAATTGGCTGGGGGATACTGGGATTTTCACTTCCCCAGCTGAAAAAGTAGCCACAGGAAGAGGGGAAACCTTAGTGCACCCTCCACAGCAGAAGCAAGAGCAGCAACCTCAGAGCCCCTTGCCCTGGCTAGAGCTAGCAGATGTTTAGGGAAGTCCAAGTTTGTTCTTTCTGCACCTCCCTTTCAGAAAGTGGATTCCTTTTGGTGGAGGTCTCTCTGCACAGCAGGCACCACTCAAGGAAGGAGATATCAGTTCTGGCCAATACTAATTATTAAAGATCCCATTTCACTTCTACCAAGTGCCGAGTGTTAGCTCTTAAGTCCTGGTTACACTGGGTTGTGATTCATTTTCTGTTCCACCTCCCTGCATTAGCCCTGCTAAATGAAGTTACATGGTATTCTCAACTTTCACTGCATCTTGTAGTGCGTGTAGCTGCTATGTCTATCCCAGAAATGGAGGTATGGATGGGCATGGCAAAAAGGAAGTCTTATTTAGGTAGTTGGTGAAGCACTTTATAAATCTTTGGGATGTAGTTGCTCCAAGTATCTTGTTATGGCCATTTGAATTGAAGAAAAAGCCCATTAAAAGGCGTATGTGAAATCACTAGTTTTGAGTTCAGACGTATCCAATTTACAATAAGTGTCTTTTTGGTGTAAAAAAATAAATACAAATTAAAAAAAAGACACACCCTGAAGCTTTTTATTGTTCTCTGCTATAAAGCTTTGTCTCACATTTATCTTTTCCTTTCATAAGAAATGCTCCATAAAATTTCGAGGGTGGGATTTTCCAAAAGTGGTTTAGAAGCTTAGTTCATGTAACTTTTTCAATCAGACTTGTGCTCTTAAGACATTTAGATGCTTTTGAAAATCCCATTTCAAATGTTTGGCTGCTAAGGACGGTGTGGGGAGGGCGGAGTGTAGAGCCATTAAACTGAAAAAAGACTTTAATTTGTTTACTCCTGTTAATAAAATCATTGCTGAATTAAAACTATTTGTATTGCTGCAGCTAATTTGGTTAACATGACAAATTTGTTCAGCCTCATCAGTGCAGTGTTCAGAGGCCTGATTAGTGATTAATCATAGCTCCTTCCATTTTTTTTGCTAACAGTCATAAACATTCCCCACGACTCTGCATGTAGAATTAACTTAGCTCTATTTTAATGTCTTGCTTTCTTTTTACAGAGAGGCCATGAAGCGAGTGGTGAAAGCAATGAATCGAATGGACAGAAAAAGGCATGAGAAGTTTGCAAACCAGTTTAACTACGCATTGAATTAAATCACAATAAGACAGGACCAAAAGGAGGAGTAACAAGACTGCAGCAATACAAAACACTTCACAAAGGCCTTTATATTGCAACTAAAATATTGTGCTATATATATTTTAATGGGGTTATTTTTTTAATTAGTGTCAACTTCTTGTAACTTAATATTTGATAATGAACATAATGAGCATGGATTGTAGCAAAGACATGACTGTACATAATTGTATGCATTTAACAAATTGATAACTACTTGAAACTTGCATTAAATGGAACAAGCTTTATGGCTTCTACATATTCTAATTAAAATGCTGAGACGTTCTTGTCTTAATGGACCAATGTAATGTTTACACTTTGGTGCCATTACGGGTCTGCTTAAAGTTTGTGTGTGTGTGACTATCCTGCCTTCCTCAAGGACACCTGAAAATGAAACTTCGTGTAGCTAATTTCTGTATTCCCCATTGCTCAGCCTGCAACCCTTGAAAATCTATTATGGCAAGCCTCATTCTAGTTCCTATGCTTATAAAAATATCTGGGCCTACATACAAAGAGCTTCAAAAGAGTTTGCAAGCATTTGCATTCTAGGAATCACTGGGATTAGACTTGCTTTTAACAAGCCTGAGAATCCATGTGGACTAAATAGTTCTATTACTTGTGTGAAGATGGAGACACTGAAATGGTCACTATAGTACTCCTACTACCTCCCCACAGTATACAGGGGCCTTTTGCTCTCTTTCAGAACTGGCAGGGGAGGTGTGATGTAAGCTGCCAGATAGGTACCCAGGCTGAGTTGCAATGGCTTAGAAAAGCATTGGCGTGGAAGAGGTGTGTTGATTCTTTAAAAGCTTCAGCCTAGCTAGCCTGAAAGTGGTGAACACTGCTTAAATCAGTTCTAGCCAGCTAGCTAATTTCTATAGGGTGAACAATCCCCTTGAGTTCACATTCTGATAAACTCAAATCATCTCATGAATCCCTCTATCGATTTGGATCCCCCCCTATCCACCACACAGGTCTTGTTACAGCTGGGGACGGTGGATCTGAGGCCTAGGCTAGCAAGCTGGATTTGGAGCAATGGAAAGTTATCAGAGGCTTAACAGAAGCCAGGTGTTAGAAGGGGGTAAATAAACAATGAGAAGCCCCACGAAGATGAAGGAAATATCTTCATCCTTTTCCAGACAAGGTTCTCTGGGTAGATGTGATATCTTTTATTAGACCAACTAAATAGTTGGAAAAAGTGTTCTTTGTGCTAGCTTTTGGACACAAACACCCTTCTTCAGGTATCAGGAGAGTCTGGTTTCCACTAGCTCAAGTGGAAGGCAGTTTCACAGGCACCTGATGACATAGTGAAAAGATTGACTCTTAAGGACTGTGAGCTAGAACAGCGGGCATTGCATCCAGAACGTTTCTGAATGAGCTGTTTCTCTTGTTATAAAATAGCAGTGGTGTGTTGAAAAACTGTATGCTAAACCTATTCCTGTGCACCTATTTCCTGGCACATGCTCTTGAAAAAGTTTAAACTGTAGCCAGAAGGTTCACCTTGTTGGCATCCTTGAGAGGGTCTGTCCCACGCAACAGCCTGGTGGAGGGACCCAGCCAGAATTTTTCACAGTGCGTTACTTACTGTGCTTCTCATTGTGAAGCCAGTGTTGATCAAGGTGTCATCTTTGCCCTGCCTCGAAAACACAAGGCCTTGGGGTTACAGAACAAAGTGGTGAGCAAAGTATCCAGGGGCCTGGCATGCATAAAGGTCTGTTTTAAAGGGAACTGCATAAACTCTAAATAAAATACTTCACGAATACACCTCAGAACAGTTCCTCCTGTTCTGTGTGATGTTAACTGAGGTCCTGTCTCTCTTTCCAAGGTGTTTCTCATGCATCCTCCTCAGGAATTTTAAATCTTCTTAGTCTAGTGACAGACCAGATCAGACAAAAGCTAATTTATAACTCTGCCAAGTACACATCTTGACTTGCGTAAGTACTGCTTAGAAAGCAATTAATGCTGAATCTCGATCATTTATCTTGCAGTGCTTTGCCATTTGGAAGGTTTCTTGCTCTCTGTGGTATAGATATTTAGAAGCTGTAATTCTAGATCACAACTTGAAATTCTAACTTATAGTTCATTGAGGACCAGAACATCAAAGGTCTTGATTACACCTGGAAACAAAACCATTTCAGCAATCAGTCTAGCTGACAAAGAAAAAACTTTGTACAGCACAGGGTCAGTGGAGGCAAATACCAAGTCACATGTATGTGCAGTGGCACAGGCCAAAGGAGTTGGTTTGAAAACCCCTTTGGCAAACACTGGATCCCCTGTTGCTGCTTCTGCTCCCCGTTCTTCACTTGTTTTTCTTTTATCGTGTTTGGGTTTTCCACTGGTTTCCACCCCGACCTCCCTCCCAGAACAAGGAGGGAAACATTAGAAAGTTTTCGGCAAACACAGCAGTTGGTTTACCCTGTCTGAATTTATTACAAGTTGATCATGCTACTGTCTTCCTGCTACGTACAGGTTGCATCCAGTCTAAAATGTAGGAGGCCTCGCTCCAAATCTGGCCCCGATTAGTGCAAGACAGAATGAAAATGGACTTGATGTTGACATACAGATCACCCCAGAGGATCAGTGTCCCTCCAAGAACTCGCACCTTTGTCCATGTTGAATGAGGACCTGCAGACTACCTCAAGATTTCACAGCCATTGGCTTGCTTCATGGATGGCTAGCTCTAAGCATATAACTAACTGTACACGTGGCTTCAGGGATAGGATTAGAATAGGGATGGAAAAATGCAAATTTTGCTTCTTGCTCATAGGCCTGCCTCTGCCACCTCTTTTTGAGGTCAAATCTCACCTCTTCCATTGTGGAAACAGACAGTTTCTTTTGAGGAAGCTAGAGAAACCTGTGGGCTCTCAATGGAAAACAATATTCTACTTCACACCAGTCTAGACTTCTCAGTCTAGCCCTCGCTTAAAGTTATTTTTGCCTTTGCCATTTAGGAACATAATGTTCCCTGTCCAGATTAATCCATCAACCCATTTCTTCAGATTATTTCACCATGAAGAGAATTCATAGAGCGGCAGGTAAACAGCAGATTTCAATATCTGTTGCACATGAAGCCACCATCTCTGGCCTTCTCAGAAATGTCTACCAGCACCCATGGTTGGGATTTCAGTGCCCCGCAGTTCAGCTAGATTGACTAGAGTTCCTAGTAGACTGGGAGCTTTCAGCTGATTCTCTATTTCCTAGATTTGGGGTTTCTACTAGGAATAGGTTTGGGAAGAGGGTTTCTAGCACCAGCCCATGTACTTGCTTGTCTCTTGGTTCACTTGAAAATAAAATGTAAGGGTCTTCTAGCCCTGATCAAGCCTGGCAGAGTCCTTTATGGTCTGAGCCATCACCTCTTTTTCCCGTCCATTTTAGGGATTTTTATAATTTCACCACCAAGCACTCAAAATCTTCAGTCAAGCACTTTCTGTTCCTAACCCTTCCTTCTGATGCAGGTTTTTTTCCCCTCTTAGTTCCTGTGGAGTATCAGAGCTGATCTGCTAATTTTCTACACTCCCGTTTTTTACCCTAATCTCTCTGTTGATGTGCCCATTCCTTCTTTAAACAGGCAGACTTTGGTCTGTTATACATCTCTCCAACATACTCAGGCTTCATTCCTATCAGCCATTTTATAATCTGGTCCTTCCCACCTCTTGTAACATAAGCAAGATCTGGATATTGTCTACCCCTCTCAGATCTCGGTTTCAAATCTAGTGAAACTGATAACTGACCAAAAGGCTTAATTAAGTTCCCTGATTTTTATCTGCTGTTTCTCCCCACTTTCATTCTCAGAACAGTGATATCTTAAGAGAAAACCAAGGAAATTCAGTGCTTGAATGCTGTGGAGGGGCTGGCATTTAGTTTATACCAAAAGGTAAAGCTCCAATAAAGTTTTGAGTATTTTTGTTCCAAGCAGACACTTGTGCTGCAATCAGCAGTGCTGTTTAAACTTTAGTATGAAGGTGACTGGTGCCAACTGCAGTTTCTCATCCATTATTCTCATCTGAGCATGTTACCTGCAGGTAAGAAATAAAACCTAGAATGAGTAAGAGAAGATGGTGATTATGATTTTGATGCTGCTTGGGAGCTGAATGAAGCACCGAGGTGAGAGTTGTGACTTGTTGAGACTAGGAACCTAGAAATGGTCGCTCTTAACTTCTGTGGATTTGAAATAGGAGAAAAAGAAAAGAAAACCTATGGGGCTCTGCACTCTCCTGCCTGGGTGTTCTGTGGGATGAGGTGATGCACAGACTATGTGAAATGTTTCTTTGTGGTCTGATTTGGGCATTGCAATTACAAAGGTCGGGATGTGGTATTTGTCTCAGACCATTAATACCTGAAAGTGAGTACATTCTCTGTCTTCTTCACTACTGAGCTCTGGGAAAAATGGCATGTGATCACTTTCTGGTGATGTTCCTATTTTTTAACCTCTGAGGATGACAACTACGCAAACTGAGATGTTGGCTAAATTCAAGCTAGACTGACATAGACTGCTAGAACTGATGCTGACCTGCCTAGACTCTTGAAAAGCAACATTATTGTTCATTTAAAAGCAAAGGAAAACTCTGGAGAGAATAAAAGTGGTAATGATCAGAAGCTAATACAAGCCACATGGACAAGATTGCTGGAAATGAGCTGTGAGTCTATGAGCAGGAGTTTTGACTGAAAGCAGCCCTTTTTCAGCCTGGACTCCTTTCCAAACAGCTGAACAAAAATGCCATGTTAATCACGGGCACTAAGGCCAGGGATTTCAATGTCTTTAGAGCTGGGACTAGTCCTGGCCTTAGCAATCATGTCTTAGTTGAGGATTTCCATCAGTAAGCTACAATTCTTAATGTCTCTTGGAAACAATCTCTAGGAGTGTGTGTGGGAGCAAAGCAAGACCCATGCCATGCAAATTATTCTATGAGGACAAAGGATCATGTCTTGTAGACTAGTGTGCATGATCATAGCAAATTACCATAGGCAGCCAACATAGAATTTATTATACTAGAAAGTGTTTCCTTAGATGGAAAATATTTCTCAGTTCCTGATAAGCATGTCCTTATGCTAGCTGAAGCCAAGATGTATGGTTTGAGCAGTCTCCTGCCTGTAGTCTGCCAGGAATTTTAAATATGTCCTATGTATATACATTGTTGGGGATTCTGTTAAAAGTTTCTGGATATTGTTTGGCTAACAGCCACCAGCTGTGGGGTTGCTGGGCAGTGGAGGGAGCTACTGGGATATAAAAATTGTCTCTGAAAAGAGAGAAGACAAGGTAAGGGAGCGAGGATACATGGATCTAGCCTGTTCGGTGAATCCATCGGAGCTTGTCTGGCTCCC